CTTCCTTCCTTCCTTCCTTCCTTCCTTCCTTCCTTCCTTCCTTCCTTCCTTCCTTCTTTCCTTCCTTCCTTCCTTCCTTCTTTCTTTCCTTCCTTCCTTCCTTCTTTCTTTCCTTCCTTCCTGCCTTCTTTCTTTCTTTCTTTCCTTCCTTCCTTCCTTCCCTCCCTCCTTCTCTCTCTTTCTGTGAGGTACGGGGGATTGAATTCAAGACCTGCTCTGCCACTTGAGTACCTTTGTGTGTGTGTGTGTGTGTGCGTGTGTGTGTGTGTGTGCACACGCGCGTGCCTTAGTGTGTGGCATTTTTGTCCAGGGCCAGACTCAGACCACGACTCTCCTCCCAGAATAGCTGGGATTACATGTGACCCACTGTGCCCAGCCTGTATACATTAAAACGCAAACGTCTCACAGTTGTGCCCAGCCTGTATACATTAAAACGCAAACGTCTCACAGTTGGTCAGAGCGCTTTTCTCCAACTTCTTCGCGGCGCTGGACAGAAACTGCGTGTGTCGAGCCCCGGGCGGGTGAGACACAGACGCCGCGGCTTTGCTCCGCTGGGTCTTCCCATTTCCTGCACTGGCCAGGCGGGCTCCAAATTCACCCTGCGCCTCTCAGCCGCACCCTCCTGAGTAACCAGGTCTCCCTGACACCCACAGGAAGCACAAACACGGCGGAGGCTGGGCGGCGGCCGGCCAAGCTGCCCGGCCCCAGCTGCTGTGAGGAGGGGGCGGGGGGCCTCTCTGGGTGTCCCAGCTGAATGCATGAAGCCCCCACCCCGGCCCCCTTGGCCAGCACCCGGCTGGCAGACGGGGAGGGGGGGCTCCTCACCTGGCTGGGGAGGCGACCAGCCGCAGCTCCTCCCAGGGTTGCCCGGCAACCAGGTGCCAGCGTCCCCCGAGCCCACGCCGCACACCTGTGCCCAGCCCTGTTGGGTCTCCCTCAGAGCCGGGCGTCCCTGGAGCCTGCGCCTAATTCTCCGAAACTGCCAGCGCCGCGCCTCGGCCACAATGAACATCGTCCTCTCCAGGTGAGCGCCGCGCTGGGGGCTGGGGGCTGGGGGCCTGGGGTGGGGGGCGCAGGGGTGAAAGGTCGAGGGAGGCGGGGCTCCGGACCGCGGTGCCTCCCCTCTGGGGCTGGTATGTGGCAGGCAAAGCACGGGCGCCATTCCCCGACTTCCTCCCTCACCCCTCAAAAGCCGCTCTGCCTTGCCCCCCACTTCTGTGGAGCCCCCAACCCTCTCTACCCACCCCTCCCTCCAGGCTCCAGCCTCCACCACGCTGCAGCTAGGTTGCAGGCCCACATCCGATCCCATCCTTTAAAAACAGGCTGCTGGTGGGCACCGTGGCTCACGCCTGTAATCCTACCTGGGGGGGAGGGGAGCTGTGGCTGTGGCCTGCCCGGGTCCCCGCCCATTGGGGCCGCGTCACCTCCCGAGCTGCCCAGTGTCACTGGCCAGCCCCGGAGGCCCCGGGCTCCGCGGGGACAGCGGGTGTCGCTGGCCAGCCTGTCTCAGGCCCGGGGTCCGCAGGGACAGCCAGGTGAGGATCATGGAGAGCACAGTGGCCAATGCCGAGAAGCACTTCGGCCAGTTCTGCTCGCTGCTGGCCTCCTACACGCGCAAGACGGCCCGGCTGCGGGACACGGCTGACCAGCTGGTCAAGCAGCTCATTGACTTCGCCAACACCGAGAGCCCCGCGCTGCGGGCCACCGTGAGGGGCCTGGCGGAGGACCTGGCCAAGCTGCAGGACTACCGGCAGGCCGAGGTGCGTGGGGCCGGCAGCCTTTCCACGGGGGGGGGGGGGGCGGGGGCCTTTCCCGGGGGGGGGGGGGACGAGGTCTCCCAAGGCCGCCCCGAGGGACCAGCCAGCGGTGCTTGCTGCTCAGCTCTGCCTGGTGCTCCTCGGGGTGTGAAGTCTGGGGCCCCAGGGACCCTCCAGAGAGGCTGCGGCTCGGCCTTGGCCAGCTGCACTGGGGGTGCCTTGCAGGTGGAGCGGCTGGAGGCCAAGGTGGTCAGCCCGCTGCAGCAATATGGAGCCCGGATAAAGCAGACCCGGGTGAGCGGGGCGCTGTGGACAGGTGGTGGCGGCCCCCCCCAGCAGGGTCCCCGGCACATAACTGCCTCTTCTCCACAGGCAGAGATAAAGAAATGTAAACGTGTCCAAAACAATGAGATCAAACAGCTGCAGAAGCTGGAGAAACTGAGGCAGAGGTCACCCTCGGATCGGCAAATGATTGTATCCTTCCTGCCCCCCCCGTGCATGCTCCCTATGTTTTCAACACCCCATGTCCCCTGGGGGGGGAGGCTGCCAAGGGGCTGCCCAGCAGGCCACAGGGGTTCCCCTGGCTCCTTAACGGCCTCCCCAGTGCCAGGTGAGTGGCCGGGGTTCATCGGGGGCAGGCGGCATGGCAGGCGGGTAAGGAGACCGTGGGCAGAGCCCTAGCTGCACCTCTGGGGGGGGGGGCACAGGGGTTAGGAGAGCTGTGCGTCCAGCAAGCCACACGTGGGCTTTGGTTCTTCATCAGCGACACCCTGAGCCCGAGTTGGGGGGGAGGAGGGCCTCCGCGGTGCTGGGAAGCAGGCTCCTGACAGGAGAGCAAGGCTGGGGGGGGGCGGGG